GTCTTTAAAAGAAACAGAAAAGGAGAGGGGTGTAAATAGATTTTAAAGTCAAAATCATGATTTCAGAGGGCAAATAGGGGACTTCCTGCAGAGATTGATTCTGCGTGACAGAAACGAGGGGCTGTGTAATGCCACAAGATAAAACCTGTCGCTTCCTCCCACCCCAGACAATGGCTGATTGTTCTTATTTGGGTCAATCCCCTGCTGTGCTGCAGCAGGGATTCCCCACCAGGGCTCCTGAATCATTAACGTTGGCCTATTTTATGGGATGCTTGGCCACTGTGCGACACCCCAGGGCTCTGCACAGCACCAGGGATCCCGCTGCTGCAGGAGGAGCGGGTGATTCATTTCTTAATGAAAACAAATTAATTTGCAATAACATCTTTATCACAAGGCTCTCGGATGGGCTGAGTCCTCCCCGAGCTCTCTGCCTGCTGCTTTTGGTTTGTGGATGTAAGTCTTAACCTCCTTGCATCACCACGTTGGGATGCGAGGGGGGCAGGCGGTGATGCCGTGGTTATTTCTCCCCATCAAAACCATGGTCCTGTTCATTCCATGTTTGCTTTCCCATGGTGTCATCCCTCTGCTTCTAATTACCTCCCCTCTCCACTGGCATGGTGGTGAGGAACGCATCCAAGGATCATTCATTTGTGGTTCAAGGTGGTGTGCAGATGCTGGTGATGCTTCACCAATAGGGTCTGTTGTGGGGTGCTGAGAGATGCTAAAAGGTTTCCCTCCTGCACTGCAGGGGAGACCATCAGCGAGGATAAAACAGGTCCCCCTGCAGAAACCAGGGGTTGAACCTGGCTCTTTGCCTTTACCAGCTCGTGCTTATCCCTAGGGTTTAACTGATTCCCATTTCAAGCACAGTTGCTCCATCCCTTCATCCAGAGCTCTCTCCCTGGGGCTGAAGCCAGGGGGAGGACCCTAGTGGTCCCCAGCATGTGGTTGGGGACATAGAGGGCTCAGCTTATGCTGCCCTTTGTTTTCCAGTTGACCAAGGTCCCGTTGGGCTGTGGATCACAGATGGGGTTTGTGCCATGAAGCCCTCTCCCAGCTGGAATCTGTTAAGGGATTAAAAACCTCATGAATCCTGGCAGCGAGCAGCCCTCTCCTTCTCCAGAGGGCTGGAAGCAGGCAAAGACGGAGGAGGAACAACGGGGAAAGGGGCCCTTTGCAGGGCAGAGCCTCTGCTCTCAGCTTTCTCCTCATCCCTCCTCCATCCCACGCCCAGCATCGTCTCTGAGTCTCTGCCATCGTGCAGTAGAAGTAGGCTTGCTTGAGTAGAAGCTGAGATACTGCCCCAAAAGTGCTTTGCTAAGCTAATACTCATACCCCTTGGGCTTACTCTTTTTGTCTTGCTGCGAGCCAGGATGCTGCATAAATGTGCTCTGCGAGCCGCATCTCCTCAAAGCTTTGCAGCTAAACAGCTGAGATGACTGGAAAGGAAGGAGGGTGCCCTATAGCTGCCTTGCTCCTTGTAGAGAGGCTTTGCCCCCTGGTTTGTGTGATGCTCAAAGCAGTTTTGCTGCATGCATGACACAGGAGCAGGATCCCATGTGCAGGATCATGGCACCAAGAGCTTTTGCTTCCATGTGTGTTTCCAGATGTGCAGGTGATGGATCCGTAGGGAGCTCAGCTGGGGGCTCATCACCAGCTTCTTACCAGCACATATCAGCTGCCTGTGGGTGCAGTGCTAAGAGAAAGGGCATATCCCAGCTCTGTGAAACAGGGCTTTTCATGGCAGAAGGGAAAGCTGAGCTCTCAGTGTGGTCCTTCCCATCTCCCCAACCCTGGGATGCTCCGGAGTTTTCCTCCCCGAGCTTAGAATCCAGAGTAACCAACACACGTTTCCCACATGTGCATTGTGAATGTGATGCTAGGAGGGACCAGGCCTTCCTTGGCATCACTGGTGATGCCTTTGATAGAGATGCATCCTTATGTGTTATATCTGGAGTGATCACTGCTGCCATTTGGTTCAAGACAATGAGCCGTGTCAGGGCAGCGAGGTTAAACCTTTAGCAGCACAAGTGGATTGGGCTGGCTTTTAAGCTGAGTTTTCAAACTCTTGGGCTCCATCCCATCAAGTTTGCATCATCTCCAATCACTTCTTGGTAGATGTGGATCATGAACAGCAAAAAAGCCTTTGTTTAGACCCTAAGATGAGGCTTTGGCACCGCATCAGCTACACCTCTTCTGAGCACGTGTTTGGGCAACCCAGGGCAGCTTCCCTACCCCTGGGGTCAGGCCTGGAATTGCAGGAAGGTAAAACTTGGATTCTTGGAAGCAGAGAGGTTTGTGTCTCGCTCATGGGCAGGTGAGGTGCAGTGATGGATATGAGATGTGCAGGAGCAAGGAGCCTAGCACCAAAATAGCACCCTATGAAGCCTCTGAAACGGGCTGTTAATTTATCCCAGTGCTAAAGTGGGGCATTTATCTACAGATCAGTGTGGAAAAGACCATTCTTTCGTGGCTGGCTTATTCCCTCGCACTGTACCAAGACCAGAAGGAGTTATGTTCTATAAACTGTGTTTTAAAACCCCAAAATAGAAGCAGCCCAGTACTTGCAGCGCTTGTGAGTCGAGCTTGCTTCTGAAGTATAAAGGGATGAAAGAGTGGTCTGATAGGGAGGACTGTGTGAAGGCTGTGAGATAAGGGTTCAAATAGGCTTTATCCTGCTCTAGCATCTTTCCTTGGAGCTCTCAATGTGCTCCCTTTTCAAAAGGAGTTTTTCCACGCAATGCAGCGAGGACTGGGATGGAATCCCAGGGATGGAATCCCCAGCTCAGTGCTGAGGGCAAACACTGTTATTTTAGGGGCTGCTGCACTGCTTTGCTGGAATGAAATGAGATTAAATGAAAGCTGATGGCAGCTTCCTGTGGATAGAAATAGGGTATGTGTCAAAACTCAGGGTGTTTTCCTCTCACATTAGGGATGCTGGTTACACAGTGAGGAAGGTGTCGCTGGCAGAGAGCAGATGGAGAGCATGGTTAAAGGGAGCAGCCTATGCCGTTGCCTCCCAAAATGGTTTAACTGAAGCATGGCTGCAATGTGTTTCCAGGCCTTCCAGTGGAAAACATGCAATGAGCCCTCCTCTTTCATGATGTTTCTGGGTTCATTCCATAGGCTGAGCCTCCCAGGGTTCCCCCATCCCCAAGCCTGGAGCAAAGGTATTCCTTGCCACAGGGTCTCCAGCGGGAGGGGGGATTTCAGCATGCCTGAGGTTTAGCATAGGCTGACATCCCATGGAAATCTATGGGATTCAAATCCTTGTTGCAAGTTAAGCATGGTGATAAATGAGGTGTTGAAAAGTATGGGTTTAAATGTGCTCTTAAACCCATATTTCCTGGGAATCAGGAGGTACGGCTCTCAAATGCTTTCTGTGATGTGAAACGGCCCCTGATTCACGCTGTTTCCAGCCCGTGCTCACACGGTGTTTTCCATACACCATGTCCCACTGGTATCCATGGATCTGGAGTTTCTACCTGAGCTGCTGGATTCATCCATCACTGTGTGCTGGATGGAGGCAGGTGAGCATTGATGCTGCCACTTCACTGCCAGTTAGCAGGGATGGAGCTGGGCAAGCATCACCCCTGTCTTAAATCAGCTTTTAATTCACAGTAATCTCTGTGGAGGCACCTGGATGTGCCTGGGAATAAACTACCCTGATTTCTGTCAAGGCTTTATATGTTACAGAGGAGATTGAGCAAGACCATGAGTCCTAAACTGAGATTTCTGCCCCGACCATCTGCGGATGCGCCCTTCCTGCCCCGCTTTTGTGCTGCTTGGTTCCTCTCCCCTGTGTCAACCCGATGTCATTGTTCCCCTGCGCACCCAGAGGTGATTTGTCAGCATCCCCACTGCTCCTCACTGAATCCAGTATTTATGATGCCTTCATAAAGCTGGTCCTGCTCTGCCGACTTGGAGGCGAGGTGGGAGAATGCGCTGTGTAAATCAGGCTGCGTGGAGCCTGCGGCTTGAGGGGAGGATGTCAAAGCAGCAGCAGTTGGTGTCCAGGCAGAGAGGATGCAGCATCTTCCTCAGCATCCCTGCCCATCAAAACCCTGAGCAATCAGGGGGGGTGAAGAGCAGCAATGGGGCTTATTTTAGGGCTTCCTATTTAGTTTCTTTGTCTTCTGTGAGGTGTTTCATAATACAGGTATATAAAGCCACAGATTGACACATCTTGATGTTTGCTATCACTATTGCCCTTTAGATAAGGTTAATCTCTGCTTGTGACTTTTCAGAGAGGCAGACAAGCGGAGCAAGATGGGTGGTTTGCATTATTGGATGTCATATCAGGCATTAGTGTATTAAAGATCTTGAAATGAAGCATGACTGAACAGTGCAGAGAGTGGTATTTGTATTTGGGTTTAGTTTTAGGACCCAAAATCTCTAGAATCAAATACTTGGATGCTCTGAGAGTTGAAGTTTTCCAGGTCTCTCTCCTTTGGGGCGATTTGGTAAATTTTAATCAGAATTGAGAAGAGTTCACCAAAATCGCTGTTTTCCTTGAAGCTTTTATGTTTTGAGAGTTTCTGTTCCCAAGATGTCCATCAGCTCCCAAGGCCTCTTAGTGTTTGCTCTTCTGTAAAGCACTTTTGAGGGTTATGGATGGGTAGTTTGATTTACTCAATCAATCTCTGCACAGCTTCAGTGCTGAAAGCTAACAGGTAGTGTCAAATGGCAACGGTGATGCCCTGCATGGATTGCAGGGACAACCCTGCCTTGTGGATCCCCTGAAGGGACCTCATCATCCTTAACCAGGCAGGACTCGTGCACCCCTGTGTTCATTCAGCAGCAATATCCAGAGGGGTGCAGGGTGGGTTGAAATGCCCCATCCTTGAGGCATCTTAGCAATGAATGGGGATTCTTCCTATTTCTGTGTGGTTCTTTATGGCCTGCCAGCTCCTAGCAGGGAGCACTCTGGGTTCAGAGCATCCTGTGGGTGTAAAGGTGGGTGCAGACCCCTTACCTGGTGTCCTCCCTTGTCTTTGCAGGAGGGGGACTCCCTCGGGGCCATGGAGAAGCTTTGCCGGCAGCTCACCTACCACCTCAGCCCTCACTCGCAGTGGAGACGCCAAGGCATCATGAAGAGGAAGCCTCAGTCCTGGTGAGTCCCCCCCATGTGTTACCAGGTTGCTTTGTGCTCACCCAGAGGGGTTTTCCTCCTTTTCCATTCCTTTTTCCCTGCTGCATCCCAATTGCAGCATAATCCTGCCTGGGAAGCAGGAATGGGCTGGAAAACCTGAAGCATCCATCCTCCAAACATCCCCACGATGCTCATTGGAGAGCAGGAGAGAAGCTGCTCCAAGACATCCTAAGTAGCTTGTATTTCACATGCAGGCACATGTTATTCTGCACATTGTGGCTTGCAATGTGTTTGCATGAAAGGAATGGGGTGAAAACAGGGAGTAAATGATCCTGGTCCTCTCCTCTCCTGCATCCTCAGCAAAGTCTCAGCTCCAGCATCCTGGATCCGTGGAGCTGTGAAACCTGTGGATGAGGCTGATAGGAACGGAAAGAGCTCCTTGTTTGCTGTGATGTTATGCATTCTGTATTTGTTATTTTCATGTATGGAAGTGAGAAATCCAAAAGGAGTCACAAGCTGGCAGAGTCAGGAGTTGTATCCAGGTGCTGGCTCATGGACCCGAGAGGGTTTTGGTTCCTGTTGTAGTAGATGTTATTTGTAGGCATAGTGGAAAGTAATTGAGTGAAAAAAACAGTCTGGAAAGAGAAGAACAGGGGAGAAAAATGGGCATGGGAAGAAAACAGACATGAGGGAATAAAGGATTATATGGCCAAATAGGATTAGGACAATATTGCCTGGAGATCTGGCTCAGCATACTTGCATCCTGTTGTCCGTAGGGACCTGAATGCGGAGAAGCATCTCCTTTTCATTAGCAATGGTAAGGGTATTTTTGTGTGGTTTTAAGGTGTATTAGTGACTAAAACTTGCTCTGGTGGCAGAGAGGTGGAGCTGGATGAGCTTTAAGGTCCCTTTCAACCCAAACCAGCGTTGGGATTCTATGATCTCTGTAGGGGCTGTACAGCCCGAAAGACAAGCAGTGATTTGTGCCACTCTGTCTTTAATTACCAATCCCTGGCCTTAATTATCAGCTTGGAGCTTTAATGCCAGCACATCCGCATGGCAGGGATTTGCGAGGCTTTATCTGACAAACCTGCTGTATAACACTTGCCTTTCCTTGGAAAAGCTGGGAAACAGCTGAGGTTTTCCATGGGTTTAATAGCGGGGGTGAGGTTTCAGCCCTAAATGAGCCCTGACCACACAGCAGCCACCCTGGGGCTGTCAACACGAGGCGCTGGCTCTGCCCCAGCCAGGGTTTGTAGGATGGGGTTTGCCTGGGTTTCTGGTTTAGATGCTTCTTTAGGAGGAACAGATCCCTCATGAAGGAGGGAAGTGCTCACAGCTATGAGCCAGGGCTCAGAGGGAGGCAGATGAACCCCTCCGGAGTCCTCCGTTATCTCCAGTCTCGCCACTGTTTCCCCATGCATGGTGTGTTCCAGGTTGCTTCGTGCTCACCTAAAGGTGTTTTCCTCCTTTTCCCTTTCCCTGCTGCATCCCAGAAGTGTAATCATGCCTGGGAAGCAGGAATGGGCTGGAAAACCCGAAGCATCCATCCTCCAAACATCCCCATGGTGGGCATTGGAGAGTAGGAGAGTTGAAGCCAACCTTGGTTTTGGGTGGAAACTGGCTTAAATTCACAACTGGGATAATAAGCCTTTGGCTATAGTACAAGCAGAGCTCAGGGGGCTCTGGTGATGTTTTAAATCATGGATTATTATAGGGAAAGGATTGAAAAATGGACTGTGATTTGCATGCTGTTGTGTTGCAATAGTGATTTAATAGTGATTGACCTACCCAAAGCACATCAATCAGCCCATGAGTTGTCTGTGCTGGGATGGACATTGAGGCTGTCCCTGTGCCTGGGTTTGAGAAGGAATTGGGGGTTAATTACCCCTATGATCAGGAGCTGATGGGGAGTGCATTTGTAGGAATGGATATGCTTGTGCAATGCTGATCTCACTGATTAAAAGGCTTTCCAAGTTGTGGGATCAAAGGGCTTTAGTGGGATGTTTCTCTTCCTGCTCAGGGCTGGTGAAGGGATGGTAGCTTCTGGATGTCTTGTATTGCCCCTTCCTCAGATGCCCACAGTTAGTGGGTTAGCATCCCTTCTTCACGACATGCCTGCTGGCATTTCCCTTGGGCAGCATGGGGATGCAGCCACCAGCAGTGGGGTGGATCAGTGGAGCGATCTCCCTTGGACCAGTCCATCCTGGAACCCCAGGTACCTCGCACTGTGAAGGGAAGCCCAGCACATGGGCACAGCTCAGCACTGAGTAAAGCCAAGGAGCTGTAATGAGTCCAAACAGAACCATGGGCAAATGATTGCAAGGGAAAATGGCTTTTCCTTATCCCACAGCTGCCGTGTTCATTACAGGTGATAACGGGAAGCAGAGCAGCTGGAGGAGGAGGATGGGGACTGATGCCTGGGAGGGCTGGAGCTGGCTCTGCAGTTGGTAACGCTACATCCAGGCAGCGTAGGCAGAAGGGGAGGCTGGTGCTTTCCCTTCCCACCTCACCCCAGGCATGCGTTCAGCCTCTGTGTGTGCACACATGGAGCTAAATGGAGGCAGAAAGCTCTCAGCATTGGCTGCCCCGCTCTGCTGCGCTGCCAGAGCACCCAAACCTGTGCCAAACTGCCTTCTTTTTATATGTATGTATTCTAAATCTGTCTGTCTCTCCCTTGCTGCCTCCCTCTGAATCACATCCCTTTATGTTCAGCATACATCATTTTGCCTGGCCTGGTAGCCAATAGCAGGAGGATGGACCCAGCCTGCTAAAGTAATTTGGCCGTCTCTGGCTCTGCCTAAGGACACAATTCCAGCCCAGAGTTGAACTGGCAAGTGTTGAATTAGATCCTGGAATCTCCCTCCTCCTCCTGCTGCCAAGTGCTTGCCTTCAGCGTTGGAACAGCAGAGCTGGTAATCACAGCTCCGAGCGCCTGTGATTGCTTTGGAGCACGGGCTTGCGTGCTTGGAGGGGAGGGAGGAGGTGTTTCCCAGGGGGAAATCACTTCCATGGCTTTCCTGTGCCTTTCCCATCCCTGGATTGTGCATTACCTGCGTTTGCTGCTGCGCATGGAGCGATAGCGATGAGCCAGGGATGCACCAGGGAGGGGATGGAGCAGTGGTGCCTGCCCCACCAGGCTTAGCAGTGGGCAGCATCTGATGGAATATGGATTATTCATACCCTAATTCCCAATCTATCCCCATTTTGCATCATAGAATCATCACAGAATGGTTCTGTAAAGCCCTTTTTTGCACGCGCTTCCTGTTGATGTCACTGGAATGTGAAGCATGGGGGGTTGTAGGGTGGAGCAGCTCAGTCTGAGCACTGGAATTAAATGGGGTCAATCTGGACCTAAATCCATGGATTCTTTCACTCTGTTGTGTGAGAAACCCCCCAAGAGAAGCCTGTGCTGGCCCTGAGACTGGTAGAGGGCTTACAGGGGGAGTCCACACTGGGATGAGCCAATGTGGCACCTTCTTTGCTTCATAAACCCATCTTGTTTCAGAGCTCCTGGTACTCACTCATCCATCTCCTTCCCCCATTGCTCTGGGGCATGTGAAGAGCAAGGATCTAATCTTTCTCAATTCACATGGGTTTTCCTGGTGCCTTTACTTCCTTCCAATTCTCAAGCAGCACGAGTCGGTACCCAACCACATCCCTGCTGTGTTACCCATCAGCCTGCTGAAAGATGCCATGGCTCCTAAGGCACTGAGCAGCATCCTTGTCTATGCTGATTTCTTGTGTTTTACCACAACAGCCATTGGGTTCTTAAGATAACCATGGTAGGAAGGGGCAAGGTCATTGTTTGATGGTGGCACAAATGTGCTGGGAACCACTGAGGTCTTTCCATTTGGAAAAGTCAGGTCTCAGGAGCCTGAGTATGGATTTAGGACCCAGATCTTAGGTGCTTATTTCCTTCACTCTCTTAAAGTTGAAGCCTAACTTCATATTCTGTTGTTCTCTTAACAAGCCAAGGGGACCCAACCAAGCACCTATGGGGATGCTCTGCTCATGCGTAACCTTGATAAGTCATTGCCAATGGGAAGGGTGAGCCCCTAATTCCTTGGCCAAGGGGGTTTGGCAGCCCCACACGTTTTAGCTTGTGGATCACCACTGATTCTTCTCTGGGTCACACAGTGTTGTGGCTTGAAAACCTCAGGACAGGTTAGGAAAGTTGTGTCGGATGGGTTGTGTCGGATGGGTTGTGATTGCCTGAGATGGAGGATGTATTTAATCCTAAACGTGTCCAACAGTAGCTGTCCTGTTCTGTCCCTCTGTGGATATGAATAAGATGAATACAGCAAATGAGTCTTTATTTGTTGCCATCTATTTCTGCAGGGAAATGGTTGCCTTTGGCCCTGCCTTAGTGGGAACCACACTGAGGGTGTAAAAGCCGTTGTCTCATAGGTATTTCTCCATGTAATGTGTGCAAATTACAGGGGTTTAGATGCTAAGGACAGAAAACTGCTTTTGTTTTCTTTGCTTTTCCCAGCTGAAGCAGGGCTGAAAATGCAGCAGCCCCTGGCTCTGGTTTTCTGCATCCCTCGGGTACCAGCAGGACCTGGGGAGGAACCAAGTGATGGATTAGGCCTGTGAGATGCTGTTTTACAGCAGTTGCTGATGCAGCAACAAGCCAGGGAGGATATTTGGTAGCCTGGGGTGGGAAGTAAACCCTGCTGGAGCTGGTTTAAAGGCCTGATGCCTCCAACCCCTGGTATCTGCAGTTTATCCCATAGGCCACAGTGTGCCACATCCATCCTGTGTCAGCTCCATCAGTGTGCAGTAAAACACTCCTGCCAAGGGCAGAAATCCTGCTTGATTCATTGTCCTCCAGCTCCTAGCTTGTCCCCATTGCACAGGCCCATGGTGCATTTAGGGTTGGGGACATTAAGTTTGGGGTTGCACATCCTTGGGCTGGGACAATAGGTAGTGCCGAAGCAGCCGTGCCAGAGAGGGGGGACCATAGCTGCTGCTTTATAGAGGCAGGGATTGGATTCACAAGGGGAAATGCAGGTTTT